CGTGCGTGCGTGCGTGCGTGCGTGCGTGCGTGCGTGTGTGTGTGTGTGTGTGTGTGTGTGTGTGTGAGGTGCATGTGGGTGTGTGCAGAAGAAAGAGCAGGACAGAGAGGCTCCATGTTAGCAGTCACATCACATCACAGTTGGCAGCCACATTGATTAAGGGAGTTACCATGCAGACAAATTTGGACATGGAGCAGATTAAATGATTACTGGCAACCACCGATTTCATGTGAACATATCAGCAGACTTTAATGCTTATTTCGCTTGTACTTCTCCGTACACTCAATAAGACATTTGCCGTCTTCACCCTCCCTGCAGATTTGATTATTTAATTTATGTCTTGCATCTGTATCCACTGGTGTATAATGCTTGCTTTGTGCACATGACTGATTATTTTGGTGTTGAATCAATTAGTTTGAGTGCGTATGGATGCACAGTTTGGTGTAGTTGTATTAGGGGAATTGTGTGTCGCATGTACTTTACGTGTGTGTGTGTGTGTGTGTGTGTGTGTGGTAGTTGTGGTGGGGGGGGGACACAGACAGAAAGTGACAACAGTGGTGGCGAAATGAATAATGCCACTGATTACTGCGGCAGAGGCCCTGGCAGAGATGATGTGTTGATGATGATGATGATGATGATGATGGTGTTTCACAGCTGATGAAGCTGAATGAGGACTGGGACCAGGTGTACCGCAGCGCCACGCTGGGTCTGCAGCACCGACTGGAAGCTCTGGAGCTGGAGAACAGTGCCATCAAACAGCTGAACAGCCGACTGCTCCTCAAAGCTGAACATCAACAAGTAAATACCATGATTAACTCACAAGCACAAGAAAAAACCTTATTACCCACAAGGGCAATGATCATAACTGTGTCTTACTGTGTTTTGTTAGCAAAATATCTCATGAACCGAACACATTTCAATGAAATTTGCAGAAATTACTGGTTGTGCAGCTACAGCCGATTACTTTTGGAATCAAACCAATTCAATATGACTGACACAGCCAATAAAACACACACGCACATGTTTGTTCTTCTGTCCTCTTGGAGAATTTACTGTTTCTATAGCCTAACACCGACCCCTTACCTAAACCTAACCCCATAGGTACATACCTAACCCTAACACCTTAATCCTAACCCTATCTCCTGACCCACCAATGATATTTCCCCCAATGGGGTCTGGGTTTTTGACCGATAAGGAACAGTAAGATGGTCAATAGTTCCCACCAGGTAGCAAAACACACAAAAAAAGAACAAAAAAGAAAAACTCTTTTACCTCACAGATTGGACAGATTGACCTAAAATTTGACATGGAAGTAGCTGAGACTTATTTCCAACACATATTTTAGTGTTAGCAGATTGCACAAGCTCTGATACCCTAAAAATAATAAAAAAAAAAATAAAATAAAAAAGATTTGTTGAACTTACTTAACAAAGTGATCTCATATATTTCCACTCACTGAAGTTGAGTAAATGTAAAGAGATTTACTTGTTTTACTTGTGTAAAGCATGTTTCATTTACTCAACTCGGTTGAGTGGAACCACTTGACATTTGGTTAAGTAAATTCAACAGGTCATTTTTTAGTGTATTTCAACTTTGTCTTTTAGCAAAATATTTTAGGAACCACTGGATGGATTTTAATAAAACTTTTAGGAGATAATTATTGATTGTATCTACAACTGGCTAGTCTTTGGTGTCAATCCAGTTCAAGATGGCCATCACAAGTAAACTAACTGACATTAGGCAACAGAAATAAGGCTGTCAGTTTTAAAGATACATAGCTAAAATGTGGTATGGTCGTAGCTGAGAGTCATTCATAACACATCTTGCAATATTGTGTGGTATTAAAGTATTTTTAAGTCTATAACTCTTCCATTTCTCAATATACACACAAAAACAATTGTAGTGGATTTAATTTTGAGAAGTTGTYTCAACTGTTTCCACTCAACTGAAGTGAGTAAATGTAACACATTTACTTTACATTGACTTTAAGTGCAAGTTAAGTAAATATAAAACGAATGTGTTACCTTTTCTTAATTCATTTGAGTGAAAACAGTTGACATATTATAGTTTTTAAATCAATTATACCTATTTTTAGGCTCATCCTAGTTTAAAAGGTGATACATTCCTAGGCCTTTAATCTTTCATTGTTTTTTCTTTATCTAAATTAATAATACTTATAATTTTTAAGATTTTGCAATCTATTTTGCAAAACACATTGCTCAACTAGTGTAGCTTATTTTCCATTATGAAATTGACATTGCACTATATGTCAGTTGTTGCTGTTATTTGAATTGCAGAGTGCAAAGGAGTATTATGAGCAGTCGCTGATGACTGAACTGAAAAAGAACCAGGAGCTGCAGGAATACATCAGGTTGTTGGAGAACAGGTTACACCAGGCAGATAAAGGACAGGTATTCCTCCCATCAGTTTTATCCCTTTGTCTGTTTGTTTCTGCTACAAATACAAACAGTATTGCTCATGACATCTTTTTTTCTCCCTATGTTGTCACTGAAGGGAGGCTTCAGTGTTGTCAGTCCCGGGTCATGTCCTAACGCTGGCCACATTTCTGGATGCAGCCCCTCATCCTTCTTTACTTCTCCCAGCCCAGAAACAGGGTGGAAGGAGAAAAAGCATAGCAGCTCCTCATTGTTATTACTAGGAAACAACTCCCAGAAAGAAATGCAGGATTTAAGAGAGCAGCTGGAGGCCCTTAAATGTCAGGTGGGTTGTTCTCGTCAGCTCAACATCCACACATGTTCTTACATATCTGCTGCCAAAAAGAACAGAGCTGTTGTCAAACCACTGTTGCCGGGTAAAGATTTGTTTAATGTTCGAACCAAACGGAGGCTGCGCCATCTAGTGGTGGCTCTCTGCTCTGATTCATGACACTGCAAAAGGTTGGACGCAGGCTCATTGCAGTGTCTTCTTGTGCCATCAGACTGAGATTTACGAGGCAGAATATCAGACGGAGCACAACGACCACAAGCACACGCTGCAGGAGAACCGAAGGCTCAGGAAGAAGAGGGAGGAGATGCGCCAACAGGTGAATCTCCTGCAAGAACAGGTACGCACCACATGCACAATCACACACTTTTATGTAGAACCTAACCTGCCCAGAGGTTAGAGAAGTGGAGCTTTTAATTGAAAGGTCACTGGTTCAACTCCCCAGACAGACAACAAAAATAATAATTATAATAATGTGGGTGGGAAACACTCATTTGCCCCACTCTGGGCCCTGAAACAAGGRTGTTAACCCCTCAACTCACCTCTCACATGCGTGATTGGAAAAATGCAGAAAATTAACTCCCCACTGTAGGACAATAAAGATTAATAAATAAATAAAATAAAAATAGCCTGGTATTAAATGGTGCAGAGTTATTTTCTATACTGTGAATTATCATAGGGCTGGCCCTACAGTCAATTTGGCACGATGGGACAGATTCTCTCAAAACTCTACATTTTCCAACCAATTGAAGAACATTTTCCTAAATTCTTGGAATTATTGAAACAACATAAAATCAGTATTTCATGAAGGTAGAAGACCTAAAACCAGACCTTAACCTGAACTTTATCTGAGATCAGAAATGAACATGGAGAGTCCACCACGCATAACTCGGATCTGGTCCATTCTCAGTAGCAAGGTAAAGGCCTGGCTTGACACAGCATCACACCAGATTCAAATCCCCTTGACGTGATGTCTTACCCCTAAAACAGTTTTACAATTCTGAAATAAAACCATTGTGTTTATACTGCTGAAGCGAAGCACATATTATACAGAGACTTGTTGATTCTCTTACTGTTTAAAGCTAATGACTACAATCCATCACAAAGAGTATATCAGTCCTAAAATATCACTCAGTTCCATTATTTTTATTTTGTTTTCTATTTACACACTGAGAAGTTTATCTTGATGGCATATCCTCTGCACTGTGTAACACCTCAGGAAACAGAGAAACCCACAGAAGAAGCTACCTTCATAAACCAGAGTATCCAGTGATTATTCTTCGTAATAGATCAACTTTACCCCAATAATGTGTTATAAAATATATATTTTTCATCACCCATTTCTGGTGCATGCTAGATGGACGGCTCCCTTAGCATTTGCCTACACTGCCTATGCCAGGAGTTTAAACTGGCATGTGCTGGTTGAGGAAGGTGGTGGTTGGGTGGGGTGAATGCATCCACCCACAATRTCCAGAAGGATGAAAACAAACAAAAAGGGGGAAGGAAAATGTATCATAACATTTTAAATAATTTAGATGTGAWCCATATTTTATAGTAATCTAAAAACAAAAGCAGAGAAAAACAGGCCAATTTAATTAACTTTATAATATTTAAATTGATCATTTGAAAGATTTAAACTTTGTTTTTAATGGCAATAAGGCAGAAATAAAATGCTGTCCTGTGATTTAAAAAAATGCTTCAGGTGATCAAATTTTAATTGTTTCAAACATAAACTCATTACTCTGTCAAAAAGTTKATTTTAAATTCTCTCATATTAAGCTTGCAAAACTTTTCAGCATTTGATTTTCCATATGATCTCATATCTCAGGACCCAGCCCGGTTGTTGGGGCCCCCCTGGTATAAGGGATATTAACGCTGAGCTACAGCCTGAGAGATTCCTTCATGTTTAATGAACTTTTTGTTTATCTGTCTGTTTGTTTGTCTGAAATCACTGCAGCTCAAGATTTATGAGGACGACTTCAGGCGGGAYCGGTCCGACAAACAGGTTCTGCAGCGACTGCTGCTGCAGAAAGCGGCTCCCAACAAGGACCCGGTGCTGATCCACCGCTGCAATAACGAGCAGCAGCTGCTGGGGGGAGAAAAGAGAGCACAGAGTGGAGAGAAAAGGAAGCAGCACCACCCGCTCTGCCCCAAGCACCCAAACAGGGACAAAGAGTCTGACTGAGGCGCACAGAAACAAAAAACAGACATCACAATTAGACTAAAGTGGCTGATTGAATGTTGGGTGACTGAAAAACCAGGAAATCATCATGACAGGATGTAATTCCAACTCAACATCCTTCAGGACATTATTGTTTATTCATTTTATATACCTGTCAAATATTTATTTTTGCTAATATATTTCAATCTCCAGGGGCCTTTTTTAAGTTTACTTAGAATTGAGTCAAGAGAAACATTTTGTGAAAAGTTATCCAACAACGCCTGCCATCATTTGAAAAGTTTATTTTTGTATTTAATGACTTTAGTTGATTTATTGTCAAATCTACATAATGTAGCCTTAAAAAGATTCACAGGATTGAATTTTGTTACTTTGTCAGACCCCTGGTGCAGCAAGCATCAGAAAAACATATATGTATGAGGTCCTTGATCATTTGTTCTTAATGGCAATAAGGCCAAGAAGGTAATATAACTAAACTGTTATATTTCCTTTAATGAGTCATTAAAGGAAATATGAGCTTACCCCCACCCAAAAAAAAWAATAATAATAATAAATAAAATTTAAAAAAATTGCCCTGTTTACGGTTGTTTCCTGGTCATGTGTCCTTATCTAAACCTGAACCTCTGAGGTGAAACAAAACATCTGTGGAGAGTGTCGGTGGGGGGCTCAATGGTTTTTTCCTCTGTGAATCATTTTATCTGCGTATTTACTCATGCATGATTAAATCTGAAGTCCCAAACAGTGATTTGACTGATCCGTGCTCAATTAGGTGCTWTGGACACTAGGGGGCAGTATTGCCTTCTGTTAGTCTCTGTGAGGGACAACTAAACTGCTTTTTTTTATTATTATTATTGTACATGCAGAATTTATGTATACTCGCACATATTTTTCTCAGTGTTTTCCAACAGAAAACTAAAGTTAAAATTAAAATATTTTATATGTTCCACTTTTTGCATTTTATTTGTCTAAAAATGCACACATTATTGTCAGTTAGTATTACTATTTTGTAATAAACATTCCAGTAAAGTGGAAAATGACTGAATAATATCCTGTTTCTTATTATAATCGGTCTATTTGCTTTCGCTCTCAGAGCAGGAGCGCAATGTTTGGGAGTTTATGAGACCTGAGAATGTGTCTGTAATGAAATATGAGACGTGCGGTGAACTATTTGAAAGTAAATCAAAACTGTGTCTCACCTGTGATCTTATTCCTTGAGACAAGACACTCAGGTTAACCATGAACAACCCACCACACCTCTGTGGACACGATGTTGACAAAGTTTGATGCTGCATTATGAAATTAGATTTCTCCTTTTTACCGTTTCCCTGAAAAGTAGGAGGGCTCAGCAGAAACCAAACACAGGACAAGACTCAACGTTAGATAAGTGGACATAGCAAGATGTCTGATTAAGTAGTTATAACACTATAAATGATGTGATGCAACACAATAAGATACACTGTGACACTAAACCATATGTATTATATATGTGTGTATATGTTTTGCCTTAAAATGTGAGCACATCTGTTAACCTGTGTTGGCTAGTTGTTAAAGTTTCAGACTCATTTTGCTTTTTTTTAAGTTTGTTTGTTTTTCTGCTGAAGACAACAAAGTAAAAGCACTATAATATACCTCTAACTTAATCTGACATGAGTGCCCCAGTACTGGCTTCTGCCATCACACAACATTATTTAGGTATTAGATATGCCAATTACATTTTAGATTTGATTTTAAGAATCAAATGAAAAAAAAGAGGAGTTGTTGGGGAAATGCTTATTGTGAACTACTTCCCGAATAAAAATATCTAAATTTATTTTTGATGTTTCCTTTGAGTATTGAACTAGTTTACTGTCAGAAATTCAAAGCTCAAGCATATAAATCTATAATTTCTCAGCCAAAGCACTGTTCTAACTCAGCTTTAGTTATTAACATGTAAAGAACTGTCTCAATGTAACTCTTTTGAATATTTGATTTTGCTTATAATCAGTATTTTTGTTAATTCTGGCAGATCCAACCTCATTGTTTAAGTTAAAGAAGATATTTTTATGTAAATGCTGGGATCGTTTTCAGATTCCTCTACAGCAGTTTATTAACACCACAGTGCAATTTCCATCAAATATTAAACAAACAGATAAGAAAAGTTGGGTTTTTTTTTCACTAAAGTCTTAAAGCTGATAGTGGGAAGAGAAATGAGTCACAAGGTCCCTCACTTAATGAAGAAATAAACCCTGAGAACACAGCATCTTAACTCAGATGCTTCCTCAGCTCCACTGCAAGGAGATGAACAGAAAATCAGTGCAGCAGCTGAATTAACATTTTATAATGACTTTGATAAGAAAGRAAATTCTTGTTTTGTGCATTTGACTTTTAAACTTTTTTATTTGTTCTCTTCAATTGATAAACTGAAAATAATTCAGAAAAACCCGCAACAAAAGGGTAAATTCTTATTATACGAAAATGGTAATTGTATGATTTTAACAGTGAAAATTATTTTACATTGCAAAAAGTTTTCAAATATAAAATAAATTGGTTTTTGACATTTTTGGTGTGTAGTTTGCAACAGTGTAGGGAGATTCTAGTTTCAGCTGTTGATCAATTCCAATTGAACCCCCCCCCCCCCATATTAATAATAATTCAAACAGGAAATTGACTTTGTTTTTCCACAAAAACTTTATTTAATGTTTCAAGAGTTTGACAATGCTAAATCTAAAAATTGAAAATAAATCCAGAATTTTTTTCTCCTTTGGCACAAATCTGAAATATATTTGAAAGAATGAATACAGTTTTGTACAAACAACACTGTTTTTATGCCAGTTTGAGTGTCTCTTTAACCATGACGCCGACTCCGTCAAACACTTTGTGAATGGGAGCGTTGCACATGAAGGCGCAGGTGGTGACCAGCTTGTTTTTGACATCAACGTGAGCTTCCTCCACATCTTTGTTCACATGTTTGCAGCCCATCTGCTTCACAGCACCTGCTGTCTGAGCGTATGGCCACCTGAGGAGGAAAAGARYAGAAATGTTGACTGACACTGTTTTGRGTTCGTTTACAATAATCTCCTCTTTGATTGAAAAGTAATTCACCCACTTGTCACACTCTTTGTCCTGCCCCACGGTCAGCTCACAGCCAGGCAGTATCTTTGCAGCCAGGACGGGAGAGATGCAGCACATGCCCAGAGGCTTTCCAGCTTTGTGGAAATCCTTGATGGTCTTCTCTAGAAGTGGCAGSACGGTGCAGTCCTTGTTCTTCACAGCCCAGTCGCTCAGGTTCTTAGCCACACCAAACCCACCTGATTGAGCCCCAAAAACAATGAGTTTAGATCTTTACACTAAACAGAAACGTGTCATAAAGGGTTGATTTAAAGCAGCCTCACCTGGTATGATGGCAGCATCGAAGGCCGAGACGTCCAACTTGGCCAGATCACTTACTTCACCTCTGGCAATCCGGGCACTTTCCTGCAGGATGTTTCTCTTCTCCTCGGTGGGTTTCCCCTCACAGTGGTTGACAACATGCATCTGGTCTGCATCTGGAGCAAACATCTGCACCTGGCACCAAACACAAGCAGGTMAAATTGCACTTTAACCTTTAAGGATGATTGTAGTAAACGTGACAGGACCCAGACTCTTGACACAGATAAATGAGTAGAATTTTTCTGGCTCTTACTTTTGCTCCAGCTCGACTCAGGTGGACGAGGACGGCCGAGGCCTCGTGGATCTCTGTGCCGTCGTAGACTCCGCAGCCTGACAGAATAACTGCAACACGCTTRGCCATGATTACTGAAACACATATATTACATCAGAAATACATATAGAGACAAAACACCTGACATCTCTTTTTTTAAGTTTCATTCGTCGAAAACATGTGACAACCTGGTTCTCTTATGAAATATGGGAATATGAGAATTGGATTTAAAAAATGAAGCTGCTAGTTTGAATAAAGAGCTTTGGAGTGAGAAATGAGTAACAGGAAAGCTGCTGCTGCTGCCAGGTAACACTGCTGACACAACTTAAGATAAACAGRAAGACATTCTCTGTTTTCTGAGCAGGGCAGCCACAGTATAAAGAAAATAAATTCAGTTTAATCAAACAGTTTGTAGTGCTGTTATACTCTATTTTGACATGATCTAAGATCTGTATGTTTAAATCTTATCTCTATAGGATAATCATTAACACAGAGAGAAAAAGCAAAACTCGTATCTTACCTTTACGCAGGTTTAGTTGGAAGTAGCTTGCAGTTTAACACTGTGTATTGTTCCGATGAGGTCCGAAGGCTCAGCTCCCGGGCAGAGCTTATATTCTTGTCAGCCTCACCTGTCTCCTCCCACAAGATTTTTGTTTTGAAAAAATACAAAGTGACATCATCCATGTCAATACAACAAAAGAGCTTTTTAAGTGTTGTGTAAAAGGAGAGATGGGTGATTCATTGTTTCCCCTCAGTGTTGTAATTTAGGCTTACAGGAAAAACTTTAAACACCCTGATTATGTAAAACTTCCTGGACCACATTTATTTATTTTTTGTTAATTTAGAATCACAAGATAACGTGGCTTAAACAGTTTGAAATGTCCATTCTCTTTTAAAACTATGATCACAATGTGTGTTTGTGTAAAACACCTAAAAAGGTCCATTTGTATTGATATCATTTTAAACTGAATTAACTCAAATGAAAAGTGTTAGGTTAGTATTCTTTTTACATTAAGTTAAATCATAAATATCATTAGGTAAACTAAGTTTTTTGTGTTTTATATTTAGATAAAATTCCAGATTGAGGAAATCAGATAAGCTTTCTATTCCCAGGTGTGACAGGTGTGCTTATTTTTTCCTGTCCTACTTCCTTGTACTATCGTCTTCTGCGTCATGACGTCACACGCAGCTTATATATACAGAGACAGCGGCGGCCGCAGTATGATTTCCACCATGGCTCAGGGTGGACCGRTGGATAAGTCTGTGGGCATTCTGAGTATCTCCGCAGGTAGGCAAGATTTAAATTGTGCACATTTTGTTAGCGTTAGTGACGGTTTTAACAAGCAACTTTTAGCTCTGGMTAAAATATCTCTTTATGGTAACATGTAGCGATAAATTTGCATAAATGTATTAACGTTATCTGTGAGCCTGAAAGTTTTAAACTTAAATAAAAAGACAACTAGAAGTCTACACATAAGAAATGTATGATCTAGCATTCATATAAATATAATGTATTGGCAAAAAAAATGGTCGGTATAAAGTGTCTATTTTTTAAGAACTTTCTTTAATGTTAAGACTACCTGCCTGTCTAATTTTTTTACGCACCGGTTTTAGTAACACTTGCGCAGGTGCTGAATACTAATTAGCAAACTGTGTAATAAACAAAACATTTCTTACCAAAGCCAAATAAATTGTGTTGTGGACACAATGTGTTGGTATATTTATTCAATTATTAATTATTTTTTATTTATTTATATTTTAAATTTGGAGACAAAAGGCTGGCCAAAGCAGCTAGGGGCAATGAGATATTTATATTTTGTATAATTATTTATTTATTTGTTTATTTTTTTATTTTACTTTTTATTTATTTATTTATTTTCCATTAAGGCTCCCTGCTGCTTTTGGTGAACAACTATGCCAGCTCTCCTGAAAAAGTCTTCATCCCCCACACTGCTTTGGGGATCTTGCTCCTCATCATCTCAGCCCTTGTAGCTTATGCAGGTTTGTGTTAAAAACATTTCTGCTCACAGATTTTGTTTTCCAGCCTCCATCCTGACTCTGTC